TGCTTCTTGGCCCTGACTGGGTAGATCAGCTAGTTAGAGCGTTGTCCCAACACACCAAGGTTGCAGGTTTGATCCTCGGTAAGGGCACATACAAGAATCAACCAATGAATGCATAAATAAGTGGAAGAACAAATCAATCTGTCTCTCTTCTTCTTCCTCTCCTCCTCCTCCTCTTCTTTCTTCTTTCTTCCTTCTCTCTTCCTTTTTTCCTCCTCCTCTTCCTCCTCCTCCTTCTCTCTCTCCCTCCCTCCCTCTAAAATCAATCAATAAAAAATTTTTTAAAATGTTTGCATTCCTATTTGTATTTTCTTATTGTCATTTTCACCTATTTCTAATTTATCCTTTTGAATTTTGTTTATCATTATAAAACACTATAACAAGTTTTTTGGGTAACAAGTGAGATATAAATAATATACTCTTTCATAACCTCAAAAAGCCTGAGTTAAGTATTAGACCAACTTTGTTTTTGGATGAAAATACCAACCAGGAGAGGTTCAAAATTTTCACAAGGCCTAGCTAGGAAAATAAATATTCTGTTCCCTCATCTGTAAAATGGGGCCAGTACTAATTTCTATACTCAAGGGCTTTGTGATAGTCAAATGATATGGTACACAAAGTGCCTGTCACAGTACCTGGCACACAGTAAGCCCTGGACAAACATGTCTTATCTGTGTTAGCCATAAACAATTTTCTCAGTCTACCGTGTGACGTCAGGGACTTAGAGGGGCATGCCCAACCAAGTTTTCTTCAGATTTCTAGTCATTCCTTCCTTCCTTTTAAAGGAGATCTGGATAGAAAACAGCCTTTTCACATTGCCATCCTCTCCTTGTCTTTCTCCCCACCAGTCAGAAGTATTCATAGAAATAGAATTATCTCATTTAAATATAACCTATTTTGTCTTTCTTCCTTCCCATTCCCAACTCTAGGGAAGTTCTCAGACTGTAGAGGGACTTTGAGGGCAAAGAAGAAAGGGAAGCAAGAGTGCCTGGAAAACCCATCAAGGTAATGTGTGGTCCTAACATCCTGGACAATGTCAGGCCCCCACCTTACCAGAGGCTAGTGGGAAAAAGGAATAGCCTATCTGGAGGAATCCCAGCCACTGGAAATGGGAACCACTTTTCACTCCTGAAAGTCTGGTCACAGATGGGACATTCCCTTGGCCCCTGGAGACTTATTTGAATGCTGAAAGATTCTGTGGCCCCCACCTGGCTATTATATAGCACATTCCTTCTGATAATAATGATTTGCAGTGAAGGGATACCTCTTGGGTTGGAGACAGGAATAACCACATCAATATCACCTTCATGGCATGACTACAGGACATGAAACACCCTCCTATTGTATTCATCATCTTCAAGGGTGTCCTAAGTTGTAATAATCCTTTGAGGGAAATGTACATAGAGCATACAACTTCAGGGACAATAAGTTAGTTTCTGTGTACTAGAAAACAACAACAAAGAAAATGTGACAGAAGCCATATGATGCAGTGACAACAATGTGGGGTGTAAATCCCAGCCAGATACCAGCTGGATGCAATTAAGTTATTTAATTTCTGAGCCTCATCATTAAAATGGAGAAGAGATCACTTACATTTTTCAGAGTTGAGAGAAAGGCACCATGTGCTAACATATTTATTTTCTTAATTTATTTTTCAATTATAGTTTACATTCAATATTATTTGGTATTAGTTTCAGGTGTACAACATAGTGGTTAGACAGTCATATAATTTACAAAATGTTCCCCTGATATTTCAAGTACCCACCTGGCACCACACATAGTTACAACAATATTATTGACTCTGTTCCTTATGCTGTGATTTACAATCCTGTGACTATTTTGTAACTACCAATTTCTACTTCTTCATCCCTTCACCTATTTCACCCAGTACCCCCCCAAAAAACACTCTCCCCTAGTTTTTAGAGCATCTAACACAGAATAACACCCCACTTGCTTCTCTGTTCTGCCATGTTCATGATCAAGGATAGAATTAATCAGAGCCATCCAAGGTAGCCAAAGTTAAACTTTTAAAAATTTTATTTATTTTATTTTTAATTTATCTTTATTGTTGAAAGTATTACAAGTATATCATTTTTTCCCCCCACTGATCCCCTCCACCTTGCTCCCACCCCCTCCCCAGGCCTTCACTCCATTATTGTCTCTGTCCTTGGGTTAGGCACATATGCATATAACTTCTTTGGTTAATCTTTTCCCACCCTCCACCCACTTCCCTCTTCCCTATGAAATATGACCATCTGTTGCATGCTTCTACATCTCTGGATCTATTTAGTTTGTTGGATTCTTTTGTTCGTTAGCTTCTTAAAGAAGACCCTTCAACATTTCATGTAGTACTGGTCAGGTGGTGATGAACTCCTTTAGCTTTTTCTTATCTGTGAAGCTCTTTATCTGACCTTCAGTTCTAAATGATAGCTTTGCTGGGTAGAGTAATCTTAGTTGTAGGTTCTTGCTTTTCATCACTTTGAAAATTTCTTGCCACTCCCTTCTGACCTGCAAAGTTTCTGTTGAGAAATCAGCTGACAGTCGTATGGGTGCTCCCTTGTAGGTAACTATTTTCTCTTGCTGCTTTTAAGATTCTCTCTTCGGCTTTAACTTTTGACATTTAAATTATTATGTGTCTTGGTGTGGGCCTCTTTGGGTTCCTCTTGTTCGGAACCCTCTGTGCTTCCTGGACTTGTAAGTCTATTTCTTTCCCTGGGTAGGGGAAGTTTTCTGTAATTATTTTTTCTTGCTCTCTTTCTTCTTCTGGCACCCCTATAATGTGAATATTAGGAAGCCTGAAGTTATCCCAAAGACTCCTTACCTTATCTTCATATTTCTGGACATTTTTCTTTTTGCTCTTCTGGTTCAATGTTTTTTTCCTCACATTCCAAATTGCTGATTTGATTCTCAGCATCCTCTACTCAACTGTTGATTCCCTGTAAATTATTCTTCATTTCAGTCTGTATAGCCTTCATTTCTGATTGGTACTTTATTATGTCATTGATGAGCTCACTAGTTTCCTTAATAGTCTTAGTAAGATCCTTGAGCATCCTTATTACCATTATTCTGAACTCTGTACCTAGTAGCTTGCTTGTCTCTATTTCATTTAGTTGCTTTTCCGGAGATTTATTCTCTTCTTTCCTTTGTGACATGTTTCTTTATCTCTACATTTTGGCTGCTTCCAGGTGTTTGTTTCTCTGTATTGGGTAGAGCTGCTATGTCTCCTGGAATTTGTAGAGTGGCTTTGTGTAGTAGTTGTCCTGTAGGGTCCAGTGGCTGAGCCTCCCTAGTCACCTGAGCTGGGCCATCTAGGGGTGCCCCTGTGTGACTGTGTGCACTGTCCCGTTGTGGTTGAACCTTGGTTGCTGTTGGCATCACTGGGTGGAACTGACCACCAGGCCAATCAGCTATGAGGACCAGCTGCAACTACAGCCAAACAGCTGCTGTGCTGGAGATACCCCTGTAGAGCAGGATTTACTTCAGTAGAGCATTAGTATTCACAGAGTACACCCCTTGAGTGTGTCACTCATGGATGTGGTAGGGTTTAATCCATCATGGCCAAGTCTGACCACCGGGTGCAGTCTCTGGAGCCTCCTGGGAGGTGCAAAGTCAGCCTCTGCGTGTGCCTTGCCCAGAGCCACCAAGCATGAGCTACACAGCAAACCGTAGTTGCCTGCTACTTGTGCTGGGCTTGGAGGTGTCCAGGAGAGGCCAAGCTATGAACCAATGCTGGCTGCCACTAGTCCCAGGCCTGGGGCCACTTATGAATACATATGGGGCATGCTGAGGCCAGCTGCTGCTTGTTTGAGAAATTTTAGGAAAGCCCTAAGCATGAAGCTAGAGAAGCCACTGGCATAGAAAAGCCACTGGAAATGGCTTGGATGAGCTTGCAAGCAGGGAGGGGCAGGGCCTCGGGGAAGCACCAGGGTAGGGCTAAAAGTGTGAGTCAGGTGCTGGAGATTCAAATATGGTGCCTGCCTGCTGGCTTTGTGAGGGGAGGGCACACCAAAGGAGCAATGGCCTCTGTCAGCTCTTCTATCTGTGAGAAAACTGCTCCTCCACCTCTCCCTGATTTCAGGCAAGGTAGTTCCTCCCCGAATGTCCCAGGTTCTTTTAAAACTGCTGCTCAGCGCTGGAGCTCAGAGGGAGTGCCTCTAAGTGACTCTGTGTGCTGGTCCTTTAACAGGAGCTGCCTGGGACTCCCACAGCTTCCATGTCCCTCAGCTCCAGTCCCCGCTGGTTTTCACAGCCCGAAGTTGTGGGGACTTCTCTTCCTGGCCCCAGAACCCTGGGCTGGGGGGCCTGTTGTGGGCCTGGGACCCCTCACTGCTCCAGGAAACCTCCACTGCTGAGATGTCCCTCCAGGTTTTAAACTGCGGCACCTGGGTATGGGACCGTGGCCATGTCTGTGGGATTCAGCCCTGATCCGCCCTCATCTCTACCCCTCCTACTGGTCTCGTTGCTCCTTCAGTTCCCTCCTTGTAGGGCTTCTGTTCAGCTAGATTTCAGGAGGTTCTGAGTGATGGTGGTTCTGTATTTTAGTTGTAATTTTGACGTGGTTGTGGGAGGTGGGGGGTACTGAGGTTACCTACGCCGCCATCCTTTTGTCTGTATTTATTTTTTAAATATATCTTTATTGATTTCAGAGAGAGGAAAGGAGAGAGAGAGAGCTGAAACATCAATGATGAGAGAGTTGTCACTGATCGGCTGCCTCCTGCAAGCCTCCAACTGGGGATCAAGCCGCAACCAAGGCATATGCCCTGGCCGGGAATCAAACCGTGATCTCCTGGATCCTAGGTCAATGCTCAACCACTGAGCCATGCCCAGCCAGGTGCCAAAGTTAAACTTTGCCTTTTTATTTTTTTATTAAGGCTCAGGTCAGCCTTTGTCTTGACCTATCTTAGAGGCAAGAGTAGGAAAAGAAATTCCCAAGAAGCAGGTACTGTGGTGGAAGCAATTGGGAGAAGTAAAAGAGGCTTATGGGCAACAAGTGTGTCCCTTACCTGGTCAAACAACTGCTTGCCGGTGGTGTTGGGCTGAATGGCAAACTCCAGTTCTGCATCCATGGTGGTCACACGTACATTGATCTAGGATACGATCAAAGGAGGCAAGTTAGTTGTCTGGGTCGATGCTCAGCATAGGCTGAGACAAGTGTCTCTGTTCAACCACAGAAGAGGGAACCAAGTGATAAGAACCTGAGCAAATTAGATACTAGTGGCAAGGGAAGGAGAATATTAGAGCAAACAAATAATAGCCCAGCCCTTTCTTACAACCAGCTTACTACTAAAGGTTAAAAAAACCCACAGTAACAAAGCAATGCTTACCATGGAGAAAATGAATGAAAATCAGCTTACCATAAAGAGGAAGCAAGTGCTGACAGTATTTCTTTCAGGAAGCCTTCCCCACCCATCCTAGCCCGCCCCAAGTCCGCAGAGTCCTCTTTACACTTCTGATTTACAGCCTGGATTATCTGAAGCACTGGTCATTGCAAAGCCAAATTAAGGACAGGATAAAGAACATTGGGTTCCAACCTTGGATACGTCTTATTCCCTTCCTGGACCTTAGTTACCCTCATCTCTTCTAGGACAGGAATGGGGGTGGAGGTCAGTCAATTACACTAGATGATATCCAAGGACCATTTTGGTACTGACGTCTATTGTTCTATATACTAAATTGCATTGTTAACATTTCTTATATTTATGTCTCATTGGTGTCCTTAGGTACAAGACAGGAAAGAAGCCTCAGCAGAAGTAGGTGTGGGTATCATAGAGGCGCTACCAAAGCAAAGTCAGCAGAGGGAAAAGGAACAGAGAGAAGCCCAGATTAAAAAACAAAGCAAAACCAAAGAATAGGTAGCCACACACAGGCTTTCATAGTGAACAGATCCCCTAGCCCAAGTCACTAATAGTTAAAATTTCATTAGTACAGATTTGTTCCTCTGATTGAAAACTTGGTAGTTTTCAGGTGATAATAGTAGTAACAGCAACAATAAGCAGAAACTTTCATGTATGGAGACTTACTAGTCAGTATGCACTTCATATATACCACCCAATTTAGTATCAACAATCACCCTGTGAAGTAGAGAGTATCATCTCCACACTGAGGGTGAAGAAGTAGATATTTGTCTAAAGTCATATTACTAGAGAGAAAGACATGGTTTGAATTTAGATCTAAGTCCAAACCATGAATTTAAACCAACATGCTAAACACCTCTTACATAAAAATATAAAATGTATCCCATTAAAAGAATTCAGGGAAATTCCAAAATGGTGGCAGATTAAATGGAAGCGACACTGACTCTCCTAGCACCAAACTGGAATTACAACTAAAATATAGAAAAACAACCTGATTAATCAACTGAAGACTAGCTGGAGAGCACCCTCATAACCAAGGAGAAAAAGTGGAGGCCACAGAGAGACTGGGAGGAAGTGCAGAGGCACAAGAGAGCCGGCTGGGCTCCCACAGGCAGCAGCTGAAGGTCTGGATGGACATCTCAGCTGTGGAGGTTCCCACTGAGAACTCTGGGGTCTAAACCTCAAGCTGGGCTCCCCAGCCAAGAGCACCAGAACTAAGGTGCCCACATAACATCTGGCTGCAAATAGCAGCAGGGAGTGTTTCTGTCCACCAGGGAGATAGGCCTAAAAATGCAGGCACCCTCTTAAAGGGCCAATGCACAAGGTTTCTTTTGCAACCACACACCTTGGCAGAGGGAGAGAAGAGTGGACTAGAGCTGTGTGAGGAGAATCCAGTGTCGGGGGCTCTGAGGAGAGAACTGGGATTCCTGTGCTGAGTCATTGCCCCAGACTGCAGAGGACATCTTTTTCAGGCAGACCTTAGCCATCTAGGCAGCTTTTGCCTGGGGTGGGGGAAGCAACTGCCCCACCCTGTCGAGTTTATGCCTGTCTGTGGTCTGGAGCCTGAGGCTCATTAAAAGTCTGAAGTCAATCAGCCTGCAGGCAAAGGCGGATCTCTGGATGATATGAGTCTTTGCCTGGTTGGCTTCAGGACCTGGGGCTTGGAAAAGCAGACCTAGGTGCACATCTTTTTCCTTTCCAAACACATCTGGCCTCAACACAGGGATCCACAAGCTGGGAGTTGCTGAAGGCTCCAAACAGGGTACTCAAGGCCAGCAACAAACAATGTCTGACATTGACCTGCACCAGAGACCAAAGAGAAAGACTGAGTCCTAGAAAATCTACCTAATGTATAGAAACAAACCCAAACAGGCAGCCAAAATGGAGAGACAAAAAACAAGCCCCAAATTAAAGAAGAGAATTCTCCAGAAGAAGAGATCAATGAAATGGAGGTAAGCAATCTATCAGATATAGAATTCAAAATACTGATTGTAAGGATGTTCAACAGCATGAGAAACTATATGGAAAGTATGAAGGAAATTAAGAATAACAGCAGAAATAAAGAATACATTAGAAGAGATTAACAGCAGATTACAGGAAGTCGAGGATAGGATCAGTAAATTAGAAGACAGGTAGTAAAAAAGCACTCGGAGAACGAAAAAGAAAAAAACAATTTAAAAGCAGGACAGCTTAAGGGAGCTGTAGGACAACATGAAATGTAACAATATTCCCATCATAGGAATGCCAGAAGGGGAAAAGAATAAGCAAGAGATAGAGAACCTGTTGGAAGAAATAATGGCAGAAAACTTCCCTAACCTGGTCAAGGAAAAAGTCACACAAGTTCAAGAGGCACAGAGAGTCCCAACCAAGAAGAACCCAGAGGACCACACACAGTCACATAATTAAAATGCCAAAAATTCAAGACAAAGAGAGAGTCTTCAAGGCAACAAGAGAAAAGCAATCTATTACCTATAAATGAGTTCCCATAAGGCTGTCAGCTGATTTCTCATTAGAAACTCTACAGGCCAGAAGGGAATTGAGCATGAAGTACTCAAAGCAATGAAAAGCAAGGATCTGAAACCAAGACTACTCTATCCAGCAAGGCTATCATTCAAAATAGATGGTAAAATAAACAGCTTCCCAAACGAAAAAAGGCTAANCCACCAAAAAAAGGCTAAAGGAGTTTATGAGCACCAAACCAGCAATGCAAGGAATGTTAAAGGGACTGCTGTAATAAGAAATAGAGAGAAACATAGGCATAAAGAATTAAAATGGCAATAAATACCTATCAATTTTAACCTTACATGTAAATGGATAAAATGCTCCAATCAAAAGACATAGGGTAGCTGAATGAATTGGAAAACATGATCCAAATATATATTGTCTACAAGAGACCAAACTCAGAACAAAAGTCTCACACAGGATGAGAGTGAAGGGATGGAAAAAATTTCCATGCAAATGGAAACAAAAACAAAAGGGTGGGATAGCAATACTCATATCTGACAAAACAGACTTCAAAATGAAGGCTATAATAAAATACAAGAAAGGTCACTACACAATCCTAAAGGAATCGATCCAACAACAGGATATAACCCTGGTAGACATATATGCACCCAATATAGGAGCACCTAAATATATAAAAAAAACTTCTGGAGGACTTTAAGGGAGAGGTCGACAGGAATACAGTCATAGTAGGCAATTCAGCACCCCACTGACTTCACTGGATAGATCTTCCAAACAAAAACTCAACAAGGAAACAGTGACTCTAAATGACACACTACATCAGATGGATTTATGGAACTGCCATTTGGTCCAGTGATCCCACTTCTAGGGATATATCCTAAGAAACCTGAAACACAAATCAGAAAGAATATTTGCACCCCTTTGTCCATAGCAGTGCAATTTACAATAGCTAAGATCTGGAAACAGCCCAATGCCCATCAGTAGGTGAGTAGATAAAAAAGCTGTGGGACATTTACACTATGGAATACTACACAGCTATAAAAAAGAAGGATCCTTTACCCTTTAAGACAGCATGGAGGGACCTGGAAAGTATTGTGCTGAGTGAAATAAGCCATTCAGAGAAAGACAAGTATCACATGATCTCACTTATATGTGGAATATAATGAACGTAATAAACTGATGAACAAAATAGATCCAGAGACATGGAAGCATGGGAGAGACTGATCATTTTCTGAGGGATGTCAGGGGTGGGTGGGTTAATCAAATAACCAAATTTGGGAAGAAATTAACCAAATAACTTATATTTATATATGCATGACCTATGGACACAGACAATAGTGTGGTGAAGGCC